GTACTAAACAACCTCTACACGTCCCCCTGGCGCCGTTCCAGGGCTGGCGCCACATTCCCCGGTGGGCGCGCAATGGCTGCGCCCCCTCCCGCTGCGGACGGGTCTTTTGGTACAGGCAGTCCGAGGTGAGTCCCCTCCTTCCCACTTCAGCCTTTGCTGCGCGTGCGTGCGCATGCGCGGAGCGCGGCGCGCGCGGCGGTTGGGCCATTGGGCGTTCGGCCCTGGGATCCACCGCGTCTCTGCAAGCGGTCGGCTCTGAGCCGCGAGCCGCCGTGAGCTCTCGGATTCGAGCCGGCACCAGCGAGCCCGGGGGCATCGCCCGCAGCGGCCAAGCTCATGGCCGGCTGAGCGGGACGCCGCCTCCGCCTCAGCCACCGCCGCCGCCGCCGCCGCCTCCTCCTCCTCAGCCGGCGGCGGCCCGGGCCCAGCAGCCATGGCCGAAGACTACTGGGACGGGCGCCTGCGGCGAACAGGAGGAGAAGGAGGTCGCGCGGCCTCAGCCCGGGCCGCCGCCCCAGGCGCCGCCGCGCCGGCCCCGCGGCGCTGAGGTTGCTCGCGCGCCCCCGCCGGTGAGCGCGTTTCCGAGACACGGGGTGGGGGCTGCCCTTTTCCTGCAGAACCAACTCAGACCCCGGGCGGTGCCTAGGGGTCTGGGCTGCACCGCTGGCATGTGCCCCCTCCCCCAGCGAATTTCCCAGAGTGCACCGGGGCGGGGGGTCATTCTGGGCCTCCCTGACCTTGGCCCCGCCCTGGGCCCGGTCTGGGAGCTGGGGATGGGCAGTCCTGTGGGTGCTAATTGGGAGCAGGGTGATCAAGGGACCAGAGAGTGTGGAAATGGGTGGTGAAAGGCTCGAGGTTTGCTAGTGGCCTGAGCTGTGGAGGGGTCGGAGCATGTGATAATAAGTCTTAACCGCTGTGTAGGGCTTGAGGCCCAGCGTGTGCTAATGGGGTGTGTGTGTGTGTGTGTGTGTGTGTGTGTGTGTGTGTGTGTGTAGGACCCCAAGGGTGTGTGATAGGGGAGAGCATGCCAGAGGAATGCTGAGGTGTGCAAACGGGGTTATAAGTGTGGAGAGACCCCGTGTGTGTTAATGGGGGATAGGGTGGTAGAGATAGCAGGAGGTGTGCTCATAGGATCAGGGCTCTGAAGTCCTGTGTGTGGTAATGAGCGTCAGGGTGGTGGTAATTCTGTGTATTTGTCCATGAGGGACTGCGGTGTGTGAGGGTCCAGAGAGCGCTCGTGGAGGTCAGGGTAGTGGAAGAAGTCCAGTGTTGAGAACGTGCTAATGGGAATCATAGCCGTAGAGGGTACATGCATGTGGTAATAAAGGTCTGGGTAGGACGAGGCCCAGTATATGCTAATGGGGACAGAGTGGTGGAAGACCTGAATCTGTGCTACTGGGTATCAGAAGTTGTGGATATATGTGGGGTGGGAGGGCATGGTGGTGAGGGAAGTGCCTTAGCACTGTGAGAGGTCCAGTATATTAAGGATCAAGATGGTGTGAGATCAGCGTGTGTGGGTGTGTGTGTGTGTCCATGTCCGTGAGGACAGGGGATGTGAGACTACTGGATGCGCTCAGGGACAGGTATATATGAAATTCTAGTGACCGTTAAAATCGGCTTAGAGCCTTGGAGGCACTTAAACGTGTGCCACTGGGGGGAAGAGCCGGGGCAGTACGGGGTCCGGAAAATGCTGGTGAGCATCAGAACCTTGTGAAGACAGTGTGTGCTTGTGTCCACAGGGGACTGGGGTGTGTTGAGGGTCCGTGGGGTGCAATGAGGAGGATCAGGGAAGGTTGTGAAGGGATTCAAGTGTGAACCAACAGGCATTATAGCTGTGCGGGAGTTCAAGCAAAGAGAAATAAATGAGTAGGGATATGTGATGGTCTAGGTGTGCTGAAGTGGATTAGAACCATGTAGGGCTGTGTCCTAATGAGGCTCCAGGCTGAATGAAGACCTGTGTGCACTAATGAGGGTCAGGCCATTATAGAGCAGTGTGTTTGTGTATCCCTGGAGAATGGGGCTGAGTGAGGGTTTAGGGTGTGCTAATGGGGACACACAGTGTGTGAGGCTCAGTGCGTGCTAATAGAGGTCAGGGTGAAGTGAACGTCCAGCTTGTGCTGATGGGAGGTGGTGGGCACAGGGTAGTGGGAGGACAAGAATGTGTGTTTAATGATGGTTCTAGCTGTGGAGGGGTCTGAGTGTGGGCAAAAACAGGTCAGGGATTGGCAAGTTTCACTTTGTGTTAATGAGATTCAGGGCAGTGTGAAAGTCCAGTGAGTGCTAATGTGGGTCAGCCACAGAGGGTCCCAAGTGCATGTTAATAGGGGTCAGAATCATGCACGGGGAACGGTGTGTTAATGGGGGTGAGTGCTTTGGAGAAGCTAACAGGCAGCTGGACCTGGGAGGCGCCCAAGAATGTGGCAGTAAGGGTTAACTTAGAGGGGTCCGAGCGTATGCTAAGAGTTTTGTTCTCTGTTGGGGCTTCGTATGCTGATGGGGGTTAGAAATAAGTGGGGAAATTGCAGGTGCTGATAGTTAAAATGCTGAGAGGCCTACTTGAGGGTCCAGTGTGTGCTTATGGGAGTCTGAACCAGATGAGGATGGTGTGTTTCTGTGGGAGTTAGAGTGTAATGACTGTGTCCTCAGTGGTCAGTGTGGTGTGCGCTGATGAGTGTCCTTGGGTGTGAGAGTATTCCGAGGATGGGTGTGTGACCTCGGAGGTCAGGAAGGACAAAATGCCCTTTTTTGAGTGGACTTGTGTGTCTAGTTTCTCACTCCATCCCTCACTCTTCTGGGATCTAAAAAGCTCAGAAAATGGAAATAATAATCTTTAAAAGTTTTATTGTATATTAACGTTCAAGTGTCTCTGTTCACAAAGGTCTGCCCAGGGCACCCCTGATGGGAATATTGCATGATACACAGATTTTGTGTCCCGTCTTCCTCAAATCCTCAAAACAACTGAACTCTGGAACATGTCCAGCCCTTGGAGTTTCCAGTTAGAGGTCATGGACCCATGGCTCCTTGTGGCTCCCTCTTCATCTTCCGTCCAGTCCTGCTTACCCCTGCCCCTAGATCCCCCATTTCCTGCCACAACAGGCAAAGCAACTGGGTATTTGTACTATGGAGGCGAGACTGCCTTTGGGGGCTGGCCATGCTTCTTCAGCTTCAGGTCCAGTGTTTGGCCTACTGGTTCAGGATTTTTGTTGTTATCTTGGGTTCTCTGAACGGACCTCATCCTCTTTACTGGGGTCTTTCTGCTACACTGGTTCCTCTTCCCCTCCTGGGGGTGGTGGTGAGTTCAGGCAGGTGGAAGTAAGGTATAGGGACCACTGGGGTAAGCACCTGATTTCAAGGTAACAGATGACCCACTTCTCTCCTCGAATCCAGCCCCAGCCTCATCCTCCCACCTCCTATCTAGCTCCACTTCCCTTGGGCCCAGGGCCATCTTAGGCCCTGCTGCGAGTCCAGATGGTTCCTAGGCCAGGTCTTTCCCCCACCTTGCTGGCCTAGAGCCCAGGAGGAAGCAGAAGAAGGCCAGCTTAAGCGTTTTGGTGGCCCTGTTCCCTCCAGCAGCCCCATCTAGGTCATCTTGCCGATGCCAGCGTCCCTGGGCCACCTTTTCTGGAGTTATTCACGAATAGCAGAGACTTACCCTGCCCATCCTGGTAGAGATTGGTCTTAGGCCCTCAGCCCCCCATTCATTAATATCTGCCATAAGCACTTTTTGAGCATCTACTCTGTGTCAGTCACTGTTCCAGGTCCTCAGGATCTAGCCGTGACCTAAACAGACAGAAATCTACCCTGGCGGAGCTGATCTTCTAGTTATGGCGGTGAGGAGACAGACAGTTAAGAATAAAGAAACCAATAAGTAGATGGTGTCATTTCTGAGGAGGTGATAGTGCTGGGGGGATGATTTGACAAAGTGAGGGAGCTCGGTATGGTTGAGATTTTAAATAGGGTTATTTGTGGAGGGTTATCCATGAAAAAGGTGATATTGGAGCAATGGTCTGAAGAGGGTGAGGGAATGACCTATTTTGAAGGGTTTTCCAGGTACCAGGAAAAACAGCCTGTGCAATGGCCCTGAGGTGGGACTGCTGGGTGTGGTTGCAGAACAGCAACTAGCAATGATTGAAGGGGAGATGAGGCCAGAGAGATAATAGGGATGAATAGGGTAAGACTTTATGGGCCACCCTTGAGGACTGGGACATTTATTCAGGGTGATAAGGGAGATGAGCACTCTCAACTAGAGGAGAAATGAGACCTGGCTTGTAAAAATGTGGGTGGGACCCATAGGGTCCCAACCTGATCGAACCTTGCGAGCAGTCCTCAGGACAGCTGGTGTGCATTGAGCCCCCCCCCCCCCAACCCTAGCCAGTGGTTGGGTCTGGGTAGGACTCCCTTCTCCTGCACCCCTCACTTGGGGAGACCAGTGGGGTGGTCCACCAATCACCATGACGATGGTTGCTGGGCACGCCGCGAAGGTCCTTGTGGCTGTGGGGAGCATTCTGCCTAGGCAGTTGGGGGTTACGTGGGGCTGGTGCTGGTGGAATATGCCATTCTACGGGCGTGCCCGGGGCCGTATCAGTGGCCCCGCGGTCCTGGGCAAGCCCCGAGCCCCATCTACAGATGGGTACATCTCTGTCGCCGCACCTGAAAATGCCTGCTGTGAACGCCTCTGCTCCCACAGTGAGGCTGCCCCCATATGGGCCAGCACTTCACCAGTTGGTCCCTTACCCTCAGCCAGCCACCCAGGCCTCAATACCCAGGTGTGCTACTTAGAAAGAGGGTACCCAGGGGCTGGCTGTAGGTGGGCAAGCACTGACAAAGGTCCGTATCTATGCCAGGTTTACAGGAATCCTGAGTGGTTCCAGGGCTCCACAGTGGTTGGGTGGATACTGACACAAGTTCATGTCAGTATACCTCAGTAAACCTTGGGTTTTAGGGGGCCTGTGGTGGTCAGGCCAAGTGCTAATGTGGGATCCATTGCCATCTATACCCCCTGCTCAGGTCGCCATGGATCGGATGAAGAAGATCAAGCGGCAGCTGTCAATGACACTCCGAGGGGGCCGAGGTGTGGACAAGACCAATGGTGCCCCTGAACAGATAGGCCTGGATGAGAGTGGGGGTGGTGGCGGCAATGACCTCGGAGAGGTACCCACTCGTGCCGCTCCTGGGGAACCTCGCTCTGGACGGGGCCCTCTCAGTTCTGCACCAGGTGGGTCCACTGACCACTTCTGCCCCCAGACTGGTCCCCAGGTGCCACCTCCCAGCCGAGTTCCCTTAGATTTGTGTTATTTCCATTTTCCTTTCTCCCGTTTTCTCCCCCTTCCCTGCTATCCTCTCCGCACACGCTCTCTCTATCTGTGCCCCTTTCCTTGGCTTTGTGCCCAGGCCTCGGGGAGGAAGAGTGCCCTGCCTGCTGCAGCTGCCCCCAACCTTCCCTTTGCCCTTCTCCTGCGCTCTGCTATGGCCCCCCTCAGGCCTACTGGTGCCTGCCTACCCTGGGCCTGCCTTCTCAGGGCCTTTGGCTACTGTGCCGCTGCCTGCCTCCTGGTCCTGGGCCATCCCCAGTCTCAGCTCACCCCTGAAACAGGGTGCTCCACTGGGTGACTATTGCCCCCCCCCCCCATCCCCTGTTCAACCTGTCCTGACCTGTCTGAACCTCCCTGGGCCTTGCCGCCCTCTCCCTGAGGGACTCTAGGCTGTTCTGGGGGTTTGTGTGTACGTGTGTGATCAGGGGATTGTGTTACGTTGAGGAGGGGGTGTCCTGGGGCTTCAGCCCTCAACTGGTCTGCCCTCCCCCTGTCCTCACTACCAGAAATTGTACACGAGGACTTGAAGATGGGGTCTGATGGGGAAAGTGACCAGGCTTCAGCCACGTCCTCCGATGAGGTGCAGTCGCCAGTGAGGGTGCGCATGCGCAACCATCCCCCACGCAAGATCTCCACTGAGGTGCTTAACTCCCTGTCTGGCTGGTGGTGGGGCTAGAAAAGAGGGTTAAATGTGGGGAGGTGGAGCTCATGGGCCCGTTTCTCACCCATCTTGCCTGTTAGGACATCAACAAGCGCCTATCACTACCAGCCGACATCCGGCTGCCTGAGGGCTACCTTGAGAAGCTGACCCTCAATAGCCCCATCTTTGACAAGCCCCTCAGCCGCCGCCTCCGCCGTGTCAGCCTGGTGAGTGTCTTCTGTGCCTGTCCTCTCCTCCTTTCACTGCCCACCCGCCTCTGTCCCCTCCTATGAGCCTTCTTCAACCTGCCCCTTTACCCCACAGTCTGAGATTGGCTTTGGGAAACTGGAGACCTACATCAAACTAGACAAGCTGGGAGAGGTGAGAGACCATCGTCAGGCACATGGTGGGGATGGGGGTCAGTGAGAACTTCCTGCAGCTTCCTCTCCTGTCACTCGTCCTCACACACCAGGGTACCTATGCCACCGTCTACAAAGGCAAAAGCAAGCTCACGGACAACCTTGTGGCACTCAAGGAGATCAGACTGGAACACGAAGAAGGGGCACCCTGCACCGCCATCCGGGAAGGTACAGACACACAGGAAGGCTGTCCCAGGCTTCCCAGGCTCACCTCTTGACACATACACACACACCCTGTAGTAGGAACAGGGACTGGGGGTTGGGGCATTCCCTCCTGACACTCTGGGCTTCACGCGAAAGTGCCCATCATGCACATATCTAGATGATAATCAAGGTAACCAGGAATCTGTTCCCGTTTGGAGAAAAGACCAAGAATTATACAGCAGGGTGTTCGCTTTGGGTCTGAGAGCACCCGTGAAAGTGCTCACCGGTTTACTTGACAACAATTTCTAGTCAGAATATCACGTGGGATGAATTTGAATTGTGTAGAAGTTATGTGTGCAAAGTGAATTTCGCACCAAGTTGCAGGCCTCTGTACTGAGGGTTGACGCAAAACCCCTTTCCGGAAAGCAAAAACAGGTTGTGAAGATCTAGTGTCCTGTAAGCCTGGGGTGGCAATCCCAGGTCCTTGCTCCATACTCTTCTCTGAGCCTTAGTGTCCACATCTGGAACATGGAGCCACCCCTTCCTGGCATTGGGTGGGATAGAGCCAGTGGCTATGAGCCACCACCTCAGGCTGCACAGGGAAAGAAGGAAACCCTGGGCTTGTCCCTGTCTGGTCCTCCTCGCCTCTACCCTGAGGGTGGGTGGGGCCCTGACTCTTCCCCCATCCCCTCCTCCCCATGCTCCCTGCAGTGTCCCTGCTCAAGGACCTCAAACATGCCAACATCGTCACGCTACATGACATTATCCACACGGAGAAGTCCCTCACCCTTGTCTTTGAGTACCTGGTAAGGTTGGGGGGCAGTGGGGGTGGGGAGTGGGGAGATGGCCAGGAGCCACGGGATGTGGCCCTCTTTCCTCCCGTCTCCTCTTCTGTCCTCAGGACAAGGACCTGAAGCAGTACCTGGATGACTGTGGGAACGTCATCAACATGCACAACGTGAAAGTGGGTGTGGGGCAGGAAGCAGGGGCACAAGGGGGCCCCCACTCACCCACTCCACCCCACAAATCTCCCTGAAACAGACTTTTCCCGTTTGGCTTTTTTGCTGGGAGCCCTTGGAGGGCATTGGGACCTTGTCCTCTTTTGTGAGATAAAGCTCTGGGCTCAGTGTCTGTGTTTGGGAGGGGGAACAGTGTCTGCTGGGGGTCAGGCTGCTGGATGCTCTCTGACATCTGCCTGCCCTTCCTGGGTCCCCAGCTGTTCCTGTTCCAGCTGCTTCGTGGCCTGGCCTACTGCCACCGGCAGAAGGTGCTACACCGAGACCTCAAGCCCCAAAACCTGCTCATCAACGAGAGAGGAGAGCTCAAGCTGGCCGACTTTGGTACCCTGGCCTCCCCCTTCTTCCCAGTGATCGCCCCGCCTTACCCTCTCAGACTCCCCCTTCCTCATGACTGCCTTATCTCAGTCCCCTTCAGTTTCTCCAGGCTTTGCTTAGGACACCCTCAGTCCCAGCTGTGCTCTCCCCGAGGCTGCCCGGGACCTCCTCAATTCCAGCTGCCCCTTCTCTCAACCTACCAGGCCTGGCCCGGGCCAAGTCAATTCCAACGAAGACCTACTCCAATGAGGTGGTGACACTGTGGTACCGGCCCCCCGACATCCTGCTTGGGTCCACGGACTACTCTACCCAGATTGACATGTGGTGAGGACAGGTGGAAATGTGGCAGGAGCCATGTGGTGAAGCGGGTGGCTTGGTCACAATGGCCAATCAGCCAACTGCCTCTCTATTCACTGTGCCCTCCCTGCCTAGGGGTGTGGGCTGCATCTTCTATGAGATGGCCACAGGCCGGCCCCTCTTCCCAGGCTCCACGGTGGAGGAACAGCTGCATTTCATCTTCCGTATCTTAGGTGAGGAGGAACGAGCCCTAGGAACTGTGGGGACATTTAGGGATGCCCTGGGGATGCTTAGGGTAATTCTCCTTCCCTGCCAGGAACCCCAACTGAGGAGACGTGGCCAGGCATTCTGTCCAACGAAGAATTTAAGACATACAACTACCCCAAGTATCGAGCCGAGGCCCTTTTGAGCCATGCACCCCGGTGAGGCTGGTGGGTGGGAGGGTAGGTGGGTGTTAGGGGCTGGAGTGCCCAAACTCAACTTAAAGCAGATCCTCTTGTCCTTGCGGTAGACTTGACAGCGACGGGGCTGACCTCCTCACTAAGCTGCTGCAGGTGAGACCACCCTCCCGGACCAGCCTTGGGGGCTAGGGGATTCTAGGTGTAGGGGGACAGGGAGCTCCCGGGGTACGGTCTGGGATGGGGCAAAAGAGAGGTCTACTTGTTGAAGGGGTCAATACACCCCCCCACCCCCCCGACCCCTGCCTGTCCTCCCACTCAGTTTGAAGGTCGCAATCGGATCTCCGCAGAGGATGCCATGAAACATCCATTCTTCCTCAGTCTGGGGGAGCGGATCCACAAACTTCCTGACAGTGAGTGCAGCTGGCGGGACCTGTGGGGAACAGGATGCTGGGTGGGCTGTGCGGGGCACACCCTTGATCACACATACGACATGTTATGTGTATTACAAGTTATTTAGTTTTCAGTTCCTTTTTACCTTTCACGGGAATTTTCTAACATACATGAAAATAGACGTAACCTCATTTTCCTCTTTTTTTTTTTTTTTTTTTTTTTGTTTTTAAAGCAAACGTTTCCTTGTAAAATATATACCGAGAAACGCACAGGTCATGAGTATACGGCACAGTGAATTTTTAGAAACTAACCACACCCATGTAACTGGCATACAGGTCAAGAAATAGGATGAGAGAAGCTCCCCCGAAGTGCCCTCTTATTTCCTTTAGTTATTCCCAGCCCCTTGCCAAGGGTTACTACTAGTTTGACTTCTCACAGCATAGGTAAGTCTTCCCCATCCTTGTACTGTACAGAAACAGAATCACACGTGGTGTTCTCCTTTTATACCTGATTAAAAAACTTTTTTATATGGACACTTTAAAATTATATATGTTTAGGGGCGCCTGGCTGGCTCAGTCGGTGGAGTATGGGACTCTTGATCTTGGCGTTTGTGAGTTTGAGTCCCACGTTGGGTGTAGAGGTTACTTTAAAAAATAAATACATAGGGGCACCTCAGTGGCCCAGGGATTGTCTCCCTCCTTCTCTCTCTGCCCCTTCCTCCACTTGGTCATGCGCGCTGTCAATAATAAGTAATTATTAAATAAATAAAATTAGACCCAATAACAAGTCCCCAAGCACTCTAGCAGGTCATCAACTCGTGGCCAATCTGGTTTTGTTTTGTTTTTTGATGCTTATTTATTTTTGAGAGAGAGCGCGCAAGCAGGGCAGGGGCACAGAGAGAGGGACAGAGGATCCAAAGTGGGCTCTGTGCTGACAGCACCGAGCCTGATGGGGGGCTCGAACTCACGAACCGTGCAATCATGACCTGAACCAAAGTCGGACACTCGACTGAGTCACCTGGGCCAATCTGATTTTATCTGTATTCCCTCTGATTATTTTGAATCAAATCCTGGATATATCATTCACCTATAAATTTCAGCATGTATCTTTAAGAGGTTTTTTAATAACTATCATTATCCTACCTTCAAAATGTTGGCCCACTTCCTGAATCTCCCCACTGGATTAATCTAAATCAAATCCCAAACACCATCCATCACCTAGACTCAACAGATGGTAATTGCAATACCATTATCACACTTGACAAAATTACTGACTTCTTCGTGTAATAGCCCATATTCCATTTTCTCTAGTTGTAGCTGGTTTGTGTATAAGGATTATATGACAGATGAAAAAGTCAAACTTCTCAAAGACAAGACAGCTTTTTGTAATTCCCCCAATGGGGCCATGTGGGAGGTGGTCCTTGGCTGGCCCCATGGGTCATTTCCCACTGTCTGTCCTCCACCCACAGCTACTTCCATATTTGCACTAAAGGAGATCCAGCTACAAAAGGAGGCCAGCCTTCGGTCTTCGTCAATGCCTGACTCAGGTAGGTGTGGCCCTTGCCCTCTTCCCCGCCCTGGCCACCTACCTGCTTACCCACCAACAGCCATCCGCTCTGCTTTCCCCTGCAGGCAGGCCAGCTTTCCGCGTGGTGGACACCGAGTTCTAAGCCAGAGACCGAGGCCCCAGCAGGCAGCAGCTGGAGGGATGCCACTCCCCCTCACAGGGCAGCCCCCAACTGTATCCTCCTTGCTTGCTGCCTGCCTACCTGCCTGACTCATGCTCGCCTGCCCACATGTCCCCTGCTGCCTGTCCAAACACCCGACCATTGGCCTGTCAACCCACCCATTGGCCTGTCTGCTGGGTGCTAACAAAGCTCTCATCGCTCCTTCGCCTGGTTTGTCTGTCTGTCTGTATGTCTGTCTCTCTCTGTCTCGGTAGTTGCCGGCGGACAGCATGGCCGTGTCAGCCTCCCACACTGAGGCCAGGCCTATCCCCCTTCCCATCATCCCCTCCCCCAGGACCACTACCCCATGGCCAGCCAGGGGTCCGGAGCTAGCCCAGGCTGGGGATCTCGACTCAGACAAGACGTGACAATGCCTTGGGTCTGAGGCTTCCCCTGCCTGCTTTCCTGCCTGCCCCACCTGCCTCATGTTGTGTGGGCCTTTTTTTGTTTGTTTCATTCATTGTTGTTTTTTAATTATTTTAAATGAGGTTTTCATTTTTTAAATGCAATATCTCTGTATACAGAATGGCTGGGCCCCACCCCCTGCGTGTGGCCCTCCCACAGTATTTTGTGCAATGAAGCCCCGCTCCCAGCCTTTCCAAGGCAGGGACACAGCCCCTATTTGGAACCCTGACCATCACCAGACCCTGGGGTCGGCTAAGGGAAAGCATGCCTCGACCATTCGCCTTCCTACCCCCCGCCTGCCATCCTCAGCTGCAGGGGGACCTGGGGACTACTGGAGACTCTCTGGGAGGTGGACGAGGTGGGGGGGCCCCCACTCTATCCTCCTACAGTCCCATAGCTGGGGCCTCCTTCCTTCTCAGGGTCTCCCTAGCCCAACCCTCCTGCCCCCATCCCACTCGGTGCTGTTGAGTAGGGGCCCTGCCAGGAACTGACCAACTCTTCAAGGAGCCATAGTGTATATATGTGCACAAGCAGGGGCAGAGGGGCGCATGGGGGTCTGTGCCCAAGCGTTAGCCCCTAACCCCTGGGGAGGGTGAGGCAGGGCAGGGGCAGTCCTGGGGTCAGTCTCAGATGGGTGGTTACCTCCCCGTCCTCCACTCTAAACCCTGGGGCCCTCAAATGGGGTGGGAGGGCTGGGGTGGGGGCCCTCCTAGTGGGGTTTGGAGGGTTGGGTTCCTGAATGCACCATAATCGCTGTATGAAATATTAAAAAGTCTAAAGTGAAAAACCTGATTGCAAGTCCCTGCAAGGGTGGGGGTGGGCTCAGTCCAAGGTGAGTCCTGGGACTTTGAAGAATTCATACCTGGCCAGGGACATGTCACGACTATGGAAGGCATTGGAGGGGCTGCACATGCAATAGTAGAACGTCAAGTTGAAACAGGGCAGGCTGAATAGAGGGTGAACTAAGAAGCAGAGGGAAGAGTGAGATTTACTCAAGAATATGAGGAAGCCAGATAGATGGGAGACAGGTGTACGTAGAGAGGCTGTTTGTTTGAAAGACACTTGCAAGGCCCCATACAACCAGGAGGTGGGGAGGTGAGGCAGGCCCAGTATGACCACCATGCGGCAGACCTGGACACCATGAGGCAGGCCAGTTGGAGAGGGAATATGAGAGGAGGGTAGATTTTGGATTGCTGAGTAGGTCGGGGCATCTTAATACATGGGTCAAAGTCAGGATTGGGGCCATCGGTGGATGGATGGAGCTGGAAGTTTGGATTGTTGGTGTCCAGGAAGTAACAAACCATGGGCATGGGTGAGAGAACCCCGAGAAGGATGAAATGGCTTGTGAGAGACCAGAGGTCAAATGGCACCGTGGGACTTGGCCTCAAGTGTGAGGATAGTTGCGGCTTTGATTTTCTCCATCCTTGGAGCTCCAGCCTCTGTCCCAACCTCTGGGCACAGCCAAGGATAGATTGCAAGCAGAAGGGAGGAGCATGGGCAGGGCCAGGCAAATACTGCAGAGAATAAGCCTAACTAAGGCTGGTTACTGAAGTTCAGCAGTGGTGGCCCAAGGATCATTCCACTGTGTCCCTGTAAGCACTTTGGTGAGCTCTCCGCTTGCAGCCTTACAACTGTAAGGGTTCTCCATGTTCCCAGAGATGGGGAAGCAAGCAAGGAAAACAGGACACCCTCCCTGTTTCCTTGTAACAGAGCTGAACCTTCCACAAGCCCCTCAGCAGGCTTCCTGTGCCATTCTGTGGCTAGAATAAGATGATATGGTCACCTCTGGCAACAAGGGAGGCTGGGAAGATGAGGGCCTTGCAAAAGGAGACAGGATTGCCAGGCCAGACTTAGAAGGACTAGAATTCACCCAACTGCTCTGGGAAGTGGTAGGGGCATTGGTGTGTGCAGAGGTGGTTGGCCTTTGGAAACCAAACGGTCTAGGCCTGGGGAGGGAGGCCTCTTGTTGGATTGTAGGAAGGGCAGGCTACCTGGTAAGTGGGGTGGGGTGGTCTGTAGAGGGGCAACGAGGAGAGGAGAGGCAGTTCAGAGAATCTGACAAGATTCAGCTAGGCTTGAAGAGCAGCTACTTGCCAAGTGCCAGACCCAACTCCATGCCACTTTAGAGACCCCCCCCCACCCCCAGGTGAAAGGGTTGCTCCCTTTTCTCCCTCAGTTTGCACAACTGAGTTGCAAACCCTCATCTGTGCCAGGTCTGGGCTAGGGGCTGGAATCACAGTAATAAAGACACATCCCTGCCCTGTAGAGGTTAACCGACAATAGAGGTGAATTATGATGTGTATGGGTGGGTGGGGGTTGCAATTGTGCAGGAAGAGGGTGTTCTGGACATGCCAGACCCAGTGAGCTATGTGCAGCAACCTAGAGGTGGGGGGAGGCGAGCTGTGGTCTTGGTTGTGGGAATGAATGATAATAAGGAAGTCGCTGAACCAGAGCCAGAATCATGAGCCTGTCTTGGGGAGTTTGTGGGATGGCCAGGTGGGGACAGCCAATAGGCAGGCAGATGCAGGGAGCCGGGGAGTGAAATATTAAAGTTATCTAGTGGTAGGGCTGGGAGCCCTAGCAGATGCCAGAGCCTAGTGCAGTGGTTCTCAACCAGAGATCATCTCCACCCCCCAGGGAACACTGGCAATCTCTGGAGACACTTTTGGGGATGAGACAAATTAGGGGATGATACTGCTATCCAGTGGGTAGAGGGCAAGGATGCAACTAATGCTTCCTTGTACAATGCTTCCTACAACAGAGAAATGTCAATAGTGCTTAGATCGAGAAGTCCCTGGCCTGGTGCAAAGGTTCTAAACTTTGCGGTCACGATTCCTTTATAGCCTTAAAAACTGAAGACCTCTAAAGAGCTTTTGCTTATGTAGCCTCTCAGGATATTCCACCGCACACACAAGAGAGAACAACAATGAAGTACTGTGAAAATAGTTTTGACTTTGTGAACCCCCTGAGAAGGTCTCCTGAACCAGCAGGAAGCCTAGAACCACAGGTTGAGAATCTCTGGCCTGGTGCTTAAGATCATAGCTGAGTTTGAACTACAGCTCAGCAGTTTACTACCTGGGGCAAAATGAATTAACGTTTCCAGTCCTCAGCTTGACCCATTGATGCCCATAGGGGACAGTGATATTTATCTGTTGCCTAACGCTACTATTTACCGTGCAATAAAGCACTTAAACAGGGCCAACTATCATTAGTTATCATTGCCATAACGGCAGCAAATACACTGAGCCTGAGGCTGACTTGCCTTCAACACTTTTGTCTAGAGAATAAATCTAGTTCAGGCAGGGAAGCGGCCCTCAGGCCTGGGTGGTGACCTTTTTTTTGCATTAGGTGGCCCGCAGGCCTGGGTGGTGACCTTTTTTTGCATTAGGTTTTGATGGACGGGAAGAGTAGTGCAATGAAAGAAGGGCATTCTAGTCAGGATAAAAAAACTCCCAGCAGAGCACGGGACCGAGAAAGCCTGGAACCTTTGCGCCCCTAAGTACTCCCCAAAATGTCCTCGTTCATATCGGGGACCTCTGCCTCCACCTTTCCACACAACCTTTTGCCCCGACTCAACATGGCGTTAGAATCCTACAAGACACCTTTGTCTTTATTAGTTCCCAACTGGAGGTTTTACCCCGCCTATTGGCCGCAGAGGTCACCGCCCACTCAGTCCCGATGCCCGCCTAGCCACTCCACGCGTCCGAGCGCGGGGTCCCTTTCCAAGATGGCAGTAGACCCCCGGCTATTTGGGGGGCTCTGTTTCCGTTTCCGGGACCAGAATCCGGAAGTGGCAGTTGAGGGGCCTCTTCCTATCTCCAGCTGCGGTGGTTGGGAGAGGAGGGCGAACGGTGATGGCGGCGGTCGCAGCGAATGTAGCGGCTGCGGCCGAGGACCAAGAGCCACAACACGAAGCGGTGCCGGGCCTGGAGAGCCAGTGGCTTCAGATCGAGAATAAGGAGAGTGGGCGAGATCGTCCACTGCGGGCCGGGGAAAGCTGGTGAGGCAGGGCTGCAAGCGGAGCCTCCGCAGAAGGGACGGTGGGGGGCGTTGGCGGCGGTGGGGGAACGTGGCGAATAACTGCCATGGGGGCGGGGAAGTGCCTGAGAGTGGATCGCCTTGTCTGGGAAAGAGGCGGGGCCTGCACGGTGGCGCCTGAGGCCTGAGAACAGGAGAGGGTTTGTTGTGGGGAGGCAGGGGACGGGCCTGAGAGGAAACGGCCGTGGGGGTGGAGCCGGGCCTGTGAGGTGGAACTCGGAACCTGGGAAGGGGGAGGTGTTGGCGGCGGGGGCTTGGGGGGTGTGGTCTCCGTGGCTTAAAGTAGCTTCTGGCGGCTGGGGCGGCGTGCGGTTTTTTGGCGGCGTCTGAGAGCTAGGCAGAGCGGGTGACGTCAGGCAGGAGAGCGGAATCCAAACCTTAGGGCTGTGGGCGGGGGGAAGAAAGTCGGAGCCTGCGCGGTGAGGGAGCTGGCGCCTGGGAACGAGGCTTGTGACGTGGGCCGAGGGGCGTGTCCTGAGGCCGAGGAAAGACTGCAGAGGGGAGGTGGTGCCTGTGAAGCAGAAAATGGCGCCTGCGAATGAGCAAAGTTTGTGACGCGGCGAGGTTTTTGCCTCTGGCCGAGGCCCTCTTCCCAGGACGGGAGAAAGTGCAGGTGATTGGCACGGGAGGGGCCTTCGATGTTACATTTGTTTTCTGTCTTAGTACTGTCTTGTTTTTGTAATCCGGAAAAATAGCTATTTAGAAAAATGTGCGTATCTTGATAAATCGGTTTGTTTTACTGATTTCTTGGCTTACCAGTGCATGTAATGTACTGTTTCTGGGTTTAATTTCTTGCTCGCCGAGTTGCATCTCATTTGTTAAATTGTGAAATACGTAAGACCTAAAACGGTTGCAGAAAGCGTTTACGTAGCCCAGATTGATGGACATTCTGTAAAAGTAAACGGCCTGTGGTCCTAAAAAATTTCAAGGTCGTGAAAGACAAAGGATGAAGAACTGTTCCAGATTGAAGGAATTAATGGGATTTAAAGAGTCATGATAACTAAATGCAAAGTGTGATCCTGGATTGGATCCCGGAGCAGAAAAAATAAATTACTCAGAAATCAGGGGGTTTTTTCCCCATAAAATTAATTTTCTTTTTTTTACTGTAAAAGATGTTAATGGGAAAATTGGCGAAATTTGACTGAGGTTTGCAGATTAGCTATTAGTACTGATCATTTCTTGCTTTGGATGACTGTATTGTGGTTATGAAAGGGAGTATCTTTTTTTTTTTTTTTAAGGGCATAGGTATCGAAATATTTAAACCATCGTGTAAGCCGTTTACTCGCAAAGGCTGGGAAAAAACTAGTGTATGTAAAGATGTATTTAAAGAAACAATGATTGGGCAAATGGTGAAAATGTTACATTTGGGGAATCTGGATGAAGGGCATATGGGAATTCTCTATAAAAACTGTTTTTGCATTTTTTTTCCTCAAGTCTGTTTCAAAGTAAAAAAAAAAAAAAGAATAATAAAACAAAAATTTGTGAATTCACTATTCAGATTAAGATTCAGACCGTTACCTTAAGAAATCCTGTGCCCTTCCCAGATGAAAATCCCCCTTCCTGTGTGCCACGGGAAACTATTACCGTGAATTTTTAAATTTGTCAACGTTTTCCACTTCTGTATGCACTCCTAAATCGTATTTGTGGTCTGAGCTTTTATTTTAGGAGGATATATATGAAATCGTACTGGATGCGTACCTTGTGCCCTTCGCATCATATCAGGTGGTATATGGTATCCACATGACGTCATTGGTGACGTTAGCCTTGATCATTCGGTGAAGGTGGTATCTGCCTTGTTTGTTCGCTGTGAAGGAACTATTTTTCTCTTTCCGTACACAGTAATTCTTTTAAAAACCTATTTATGCCCATCTATTCCTCAAAAACGTTTCAGTAGCTTCCCCTCTCCTGCAGTGTAAATGCAGAAATTCTTACAGTGACTTGCAGCGAGGCTGGTCCCCAGCTCTGATTGCTTTTCTGATTTCGCTTCTGATTCCTGCCCCCCACCCCCTCACTCTCTCCATCCGGCCATATTGGATATTCCTCAAACATCGCAAGCATGGTCACACCTGAGGGTTTTTCTAAGTGGGGTTTGCTCATTTTGCAGAGTTCTTTAATCACAGTGCTAGTGAATGTATATCCCTGTTGCTGGAGAGTACAGAGACAAGTTGAGATTCCCCAAATAGAGAATACGAAATCTTTTTTTTCTTAACCCTTATGCTATAGCTCTCCAGCAAGGAAAAGCCTCATTTCATCCTGAGAATAAACAATAACTGGAATGTTTTTTATAGTTCATTTGGATGTGTTCAGAAAGGCGTGGGGACTTTGGTTCCTGCTGCATCCTGCCTTTACAGCTTCCTTCTGACAGTACCCTTTAAATTCCACACCCCCCCCCCATGTGTGGGTTTCCTTTTGGGGTGTTGAAAATGTTTTGGAACTAGGTAGAGGTGTGGCTGGACAATAGTGTGTATGTACTAAATGCCACTAAACTGATCACTTGAAAATGGTTAATTTTATGTGGATTTTAAAAATTACATCCTGTCCATAAAAAAAAAAATTACCCCCCACCAAATGGTGGTTCAGTATTGAAGCCAGTTTATCTCTGCTATTGTGGCTGATATCATGAAGCATTTTTCCTTAACTCCATTTTTTAAATGTTTATCTATTTAGGTAAGAGCAAAGCATCTCAAAGTTCTTTAATGTGCCGTTCATTTTACAGAGATTTGCTGTAGTGGTCAGGAAATTTATGTGTAAAGCATTTCAGAGTCATGGAATAATCCCCAAATCATATATCTAATACCATTATTAATATTTTGTGCCTTTTTGTCAGCTGGCAGATCTGGGCAAGGGCAATTAATTAATTTGGCTATCTGAACCGATTTGATTTCTCCATAGAAACTTATATTCTAAGAGTAAATTCAAATTTATGATAGTATAGCTTCCTTGGCAAATTCCAACTTTTCTTTTTGAGGATGAACCACCTGCAAACATAATTAAATCAGGGAGAGCTGAGAGTCTCTAGAAGGTCTGTGCAGGGTGTGGGTAGTCTAACAGTTAAGCAGGCAAGGAATGGGCTCTTTGTTCAGGTAAAGGAAGGAGTGTGGCTGGGTTGAGTGTTGCGGAATGGATAGTGATGTGTGAAGGGCAAGTAATAGTGTTCTGTTAGAGGTTAAGGACTTAGCCTAGAAATGTTGAGGGTTTTCTGTCAATGGACAAGTCTGCACGGCCCAAGGGACCATTAAGTTTAATGAAGACCCTCGAACTAGATCAGTGCTTCTTCACACGTTTGGTTGGTGATTGCTGCTGTAGCTCTTAAACAATGTGGCTGTGCCTTGACTTCTGGAGCTAATGAAAGACTGAAATAAACAATAGGCCTCTGGTAATTCCCTTTTCATTGAGTCCGTGCCTCTAGTACTTGTTCAGACTTTTCATGAACCAGGGGGAAAGGGTTTGTGCATTTACAATCCTGGAGTGGCGAATCTTTTGGTAGACACTTACTGTACCAGTCTTTGTTGCTTGAACAGGAGTATGCTTTTTAGCTTGAAAAGTATGCAGTTATCAAAAGATAGGTATATTAGCCTGCCTAACTATAATTAACATAATTATAAGCTAGGAAGATATATTTTTCGATTTGTCGTTTTTAAAAATACTCTTTGCTGAAGAGGACACTTATCATCATGAGCACTGAGTCGTATAGAATTGTTGAATCACCGTATTGTACACCTGAAACTTACATAATGCTGTATGTTAACTACACTAGAATTAAAATAACAAACTTAATAAAATTTAAAAAATACTAAGTTTGGAAAATGAAAGAACTTTTATAAAAATGTTAGGGTCATTGAAACTTGGAGAATTTTAATTAAACCTAATTATACCTGTTGTCATTCCTTTCATAGGGCAAAGGAGCAAATCTTTGTGTTATGTCCCAGAGACAGTTTAGCCATAAAAGAACATTTTAACAACATTATTATTCTGAATTTGGCAAAGACAAATCAAGAATAGTTGTTAGAAAAGAAAAGATATAAATTGAAGTGAGGACAAAAAAAAATACTTAGAGTCAACTTTGTAAAAACTGCAGTGATGAGTAACAAAGATTATTAGAAGCTTAACGTTTTTTTAAGTAAGGGATCTCTTCTAAAAATGAGCTAAAGTATTTTTTAAATGAGTTAAGAGAATGTCAGAATACACCAAGAGTTAATAATTTGGTGATACAAAAGGAACTTCTAATCTGGGCATAAAATAATGTCATTTTACAGGGGTGCCTGGGTGGCTCAGTCAGTTAAGCACCTGACTCTTGGTTTCAGCTCAGGTCATGATCTCACGGTTCATACATAAGTTTGAGCCCCGCATCGGACTCTGCGTTGCCATTGCAGAGCCTGCGTGGGAGTCTCTGCCCCTCCCCCCCAGGATAGATAAAATAAAAGTTTTAATTAAAAAAAATGTCATTTTACAGAAAAGGCCCAAATTCTAATTTTTCTCCTTTGGTATGTCATTCATGTAACAGCGTGTGGTTAAAGGATTAATTTATATGCCTTTATGTACATCTATTTAGGGTTGCACAGACACATAAATAATAAACTTAGAACAACGTAGTATTACATTTCCCATCTGCATAAGAAAGCTTTTAATAAACAAGTAGGAAATCCTCTCTTAATTTATATCCATATTTTTTGAGAGAGAGCACAAGCAGGGGAGAGGGAGGGGGAGAGAGAGAATCTTAAGCAGGCTCCATGCTCAGGGCAAAGCCCGACTTTGGGTTCCATCTCACAACCCAGAGATTGCCACCTGAGCCGAAATCAAGAGTCTGACGCTTCACCGATGGAGCCACCCAGGCGTCCCTCTCTGTGTAATTATTGTATCTAGTGTAATTAACCTGTTAGGTAAATTGCTGTCTTAACCAAAATGACTAATTTCCTTTTCTCCAGACACGAGAAAACCAGAGGACAGAAAATATTGTTTCGTAACTAAATTTTTTCCCATAAGCATCTATTTCATAATCACTTCAAAAAATTTGAGGAAACACAAATAAATGTGACTTTAGCAAGATGGGTTGTATTTCTAGATACTAGCAGCAAGAAATTAGAGAATTGAAATTTCCAACACGTATAGCATCCTCCTGAATCCACTACCTAGGGGTGAATATAACATTGTGGGTACCTTCCCATCAGACAGTGGCAACTCTGTCATGACTGCCATCTGGGCTGACAGATTATGAGGCATCCCAGTTTCAGAGATGTTAAACATTTGTAAAGTGTCCTTGAATTGAAGAAGCGAGATAGTCTTATTTTGTTAAAATTGGCATAAAGCTTCGGTCTTCTGTGAAACCTTTAGAAATCTAGGATGTCGTCAGGTATGGGGGTTTTGCTTACCACTGCAGAGTGATTTTTTTTAATAGAAGTATAGTTGAAACACAGTGTTATGTTAGTTTCAGGTGTATGCACAGAGCGATTTTAATGTTAATTCTCCTTAAAGAGCTCTTAAAGAACAGTCAAGATCCCTTTGCATGGATCTTTTCCAAAGAAATTAACCTCATAGACCGTCTGTGGAGGCAGTGAAAGCCACGGGGGTTGGGGGGCGGCGGGTTTACAGGTGTGAGTGGTGGAGGGGTAGGGCCAGTGATGGGGTATTCCAGAATAGCAGTGGGAGGTTTGTGGCATGAGCCACTGGGGCGGGGGTGGGGGGTGCGCGTTCCTGGCATGAGTGAGATGTGCAGGTCTGTGGGGGTCGGTGTAGCAAAAACAATGAAATCGCACAGAAACGTGTGCCTATTCAGGTGACTTGTGACTATTGCAAGGTTTTGCTAGCCCTCCATTTTCCCACCTCCCTCATCCTTTCATAAGCGCAGGAAAGTTGCCATTTTAAAGAATCCCGTGTATAGGGTTAAATTGGTGGAAAACGAATCAATACAGTGTTAGATGTTTTGCATCAATTTTGTAATATTTTAAAAAGTGCCTATTTGAGACAGCCTTTTTATGTGTCAAAAATCCCATAGCAGCGTGGGTTTGTGGGTGAGCGTGGGACCAGGGTTGTGTGTCCGTGTATGTAAGCTTTGAGGTCCAAGCCCTGGGGTCGGAACAGTTAACTGCTAAACATTCAGTTAGCATTTACTCTAGGTTGTCTTTTCCAGACTTGAGAATCGCTCATGACATTTTACACAGGCAGGCTTCAGCAGTCCTAAATGTTTATCATAGGTGTAGTGATACAACAGTTTCTCTTTTAAAAAGAGAGCTGGCCCAGCTGTACACTTACCACAATTTTTAAAAAAGGACGAGCTAGTCACTATAAGCTTAGAAATCTATTACAGGGGTGCCTGGGTGGCTCGGTCAGTTAAGTACCTGACTCTGGCTCAGGTCATGATCTTGCAGTTTGTGAGTTCAAGCCCCACTTCGGACTCTACTGTCAGTGCTGCGCCCGCTTTGGATCCTCTGTTCCCCCCTCTCTCTGCCCCTCCCCTGCTTGTGCACTCGCTCTTGCTCTCTCTCTCAAAAATAAATAAACGTTAAAACAAAGAAATCTATTATAAAGCCAAAATAAATCCTAAACACAAAAATGGTGAAAAATGGTGATATGTAGTTTTTGAAGGAAAACCTGATTCTTTTGATGGTGAAACTTTTATCTTCCATGTTGAATTCTGGGAGGAATTTCCTTTTTCTGTTGATAGAATCAACACACGACGTATCAGTTGTAGGTGTACGTGAAACTTGGCATCTTGACTTCCGATGTGTTGATCTTTCTGGTCTAATATCCATGGGACCTGGTACCGCTAAGCCCGGGTAAACGTGCATCACTCGTGTTCCGTGTCTTGTGCAGGTTCCTCGTGGAGCAGCACTGGTACAAGCAGTGGGAAGTGTATGTGCAGGGAGGAGACAAGGACTCCACCGCCTTCCCTGGCTGCATCAATAATGCTGACCTCTTTGAAGGTACCAGGCCCCTCCCTCTTCCCTCCCCCCTGCAGCCCAGCCCTGGGCTGGGAAACAAGAGTTTCTTGTCCCCTCTGTCCCTGCCAATAATCAGAAAGCTCTGCGTTCAAGGGACGTCATTGGTGAGATGGCCAGAGTGACTTACCACTTTCCTTCCCTGATTCTTCCTTTGCTGCCTCCCCCTGACACCCCGCCCCCTGCAGACCAGGTAAACTGGCGCCTCAAGAGGGGACTAGTGGAAAGTGAGGACTATGTGCTGCTCCCAGCGGCTGCTTGGCATTGCCTGGTCAACTGGTATGGTCTAGAGCATGGCCAGCCCCCCATTGAACGCAAGGTACGGCGGATGGGGAGATGCTCAGGGGAGATTCTTGGGGGTCAGGGTAGGAGAAAGTCCTTGTAGACCCAAGAGGGGTCTAGACCCGTGTGTGTGTGTGTGTGTGTGTGTGTGTGTGTGTGTGTGTGTGTGCGCGCGCGCGTGCACGCGCTGTGTGGATACACCTTGTCTGCACTCCTCTGCCCTCAGGTATCTCGGTGTGTCCCGAGTGTGCACTCCTCTGTTGGGCGCGCTCCTCCCATCTCCGAGGTCACCGTGCCTGTGTCTGTGTGTGTGTGCTGTGTGGGGACACCTGTGTCTGCACCTTTCCACCTTCCAGGTCGTGGAGCTGCTCGGCATCCAGAAGATCGAGGTGTATCCAGTAGAACTGCTGCTTGTCCAGCACAGTGATATGGACACACCTTACACGGCTCAATTCAGCCATACAGATTCCGTTGGTGAGTCTGAGGGCTGCGGCGTGAGTGGGCGTGCCCACAGGTCAGGGATCTAAGAATGCGTGGGGTTTGGCTGTGACAGACTGAGAAGGCATTGGTCAGACTTTAGAGGACCAAGAAGGTATCCGTCAAGTTGGGCAGAGGCCCTGAGCGAGTGCCCTGGAGTCCTCAGGGTATGCGAGCCGCGTCCCAGTGACTTAGATGGTACGCCAGACGATACTGGCTGGGGGTCTCAAGTCCTGAGTGTGCATCAGTCATTTGGAGACCCCTCGAGGACACAAGGTATTGACCGAGTGTGCAGGGTCTGTGAGGAGGAGTCAGGGTGTGATGCTGAGATGGGTCATTCGGGGTTCCAGGAAGACCTCGAACATGCTCCATTACCCTCCACAGACCTAGTTTTGCGCACCGCCCGAGAGCAATTTCTGGTGAATCCCCAGGAAGAGACAAGGCTGTGGATCAAGAACGCGGAGGGCTCTTTTGAGAGGTTGTGCAACACCCGCGTCACACTGCTCGAGGCTGCCCTCCAGACTGGGCAGGTAAGGGTGGGGAGGGCCTTTCTGCTCACCGGCAGTGCTCGGGTTGGGGCAAGTGAGGGCTCGGTGCCCGCAGACCCTCCGTAAAGGCCTGTCCTGCTTTTCTTTCTCTTTCTCAACCCAGTTGATCATCATGGAGACCCGAAACAAGGACGGCACTTGGCCCAGTGCCCAGCAACAGGCCGTGTAAGCCCAGCGGGGGGTCTGGCCCGGGGTGGGGTCCCACGGCAGGTAGAATGGCTGAGCTCATGAGCCCATTTCACCTGCACGTCATTGGCCCTTGGCTGATAAGAGATTCTCACCCACCCCAGGAACACTGCATCGGAGGAGGATGAAGAATTCCAGGGCCAGCCAGGCATCTGTGGTCTCACCAACCTGGGCAACACGTGCTTCATGAACTCGGCCCTGCAGGTTGGGCGATTAGGCCTGTGTCTGGCAGAGCCACAGGGGTGGGCTGCAAGTGACCAGGATTTGGCGGGGGCGGGGGGGGGGTGCAGGCTGCAGGGCAACGGGTCAGGTTGCAAGCTGGGGCCCCACAAGTCTGACTTGACGTGCCCACAGTCCTCCCCCAAGCATTAGTACCCTCTCCCTCCGCTGGCCCCTACTTTGCTGGATCTTCCCTCCTTTGTCGCCATATTCTTCCCTCTCTTGAAATGCTGCTACCTTCTCTTCCCCACCTCCCTGGCCCTTCTCTCTCCTTCCTCCTCTCCTCCTTCTCTCTGTCTCTCTGTCTCTCTGTGGTCACTCCTCCCTCCTTTCCTCTGCCTCCTTCTCCCGGGCCCTGTGTCCTACAGTGCCTCAGCAACGTGCCGCAGCTCACCGACTACTTCCTCAAAAACCGCTACCTGGAGGAACTCAACTTCTGCAACCCATTGGGCATGAAGGGGGAGATCGCAGAGGCCTACGCAGACCTGGTGAAGCAGGCCTGGTCCGGCCACCACCGGTCCATCGTGCCCCATGTGTTCAAGGTGTGACTCGGCCCCAGGCTGCCCCTGCCCGCCCCCCCAACCCCCGCTCCTGACTCCCTCTCGCTCTGACGGCCCTGCCCCATCTTCTCAGACCAAGGTCGGCCACTTCGCGTCCCAGTTTCTGGGCTACCAGCAGCATGACTCACAGGAGCTGCTGTCATTCCTCCTGGATGGGCTGCATGAGGACCTCAATCGTGTCAAGAAGAAGGAATATGTGGAGCTGTGCGACGCGGCTGGCCGGCCAGATCAGGTAGGCAGTCGTCAGAGACCCCCATCCTGAGAGCCCCGTTAAAAGATTCTCTGGCCTCCCTGGGGTATCCCACCCCCCCGCCTGACCACCTCTCCAAGCCCAGTCCCAGCCTTGGCTCCAGCCCAGAGTTAAATAAGGCTATATAAGCCGCAGCCTGACTGGGCACAGCCTCCAGATAGCTCTAGCTGTAACTCTGTCTCTGGACTTCGCCATGGCGCTAACCTTGACTTCACCCGCATGCACATCCACCCCAAACTATGGTTTCCCCTGCCCCGGGCAAGCCTTGCCACCCTCCATGACACTGTCAACAGGAGGTGGCTCAGGAGGCCTGGCAGAACCACAAACGGCGGAACGATTCTGTGATTGTGGACACCTTCCACGGTCTCTTCAAGTCCACGCTGGTGTGCCCCGATTGTGGCAATGTGTCTGTGACCTTCGACCCCTTCTGCTACCTCAGTGTCCCTCTGCCTGTCAGCCACAAGAGGGTCATGGAGGTCTTCTTTGTCTCCATGGACCCTCGCCGCAAGCCAGAGCAGGTACGGGGTAACGGTGACTCGGGGACATAACGGGCCAAGTAGCCAGTTTGTTTGATGACCCCGCCACACCTTGACGCTGCCCTCACTAACTCCCCACATGCCCTTCTGCTCTTTCGTGGGTACCGTTTCTCCCTCAGCACCGGCTCGTGGTCCCCAAGAAAGGCAAGATCTCGGATCTGTGTGTGGCTCTGGCCAAACACACCGGCGTGTCGCCAGAAAGGGTGAGGCTCTGCAGGCGCAGGGAGGGTGGGATTTAGGGGCAGGGAGGTGAGGGCCTGGGATGACCTTGTCGGCTGCCCGGCCTCCTGTCTGCATTTCCATTCCCAGATGATGGTGGCCGATGTCTTCAGTCACCGTTTCTATAAGATCTACCAGCTGGAGGAGTCTCTGAGCAGCATCTTGGACCGAGATGATATCTTCATGTGAGTGAGGGCACCAGGGGAGCTAGGGGTTCCCCAGGAATCTCCTCTTTAACCAACTTCCCTGTCCCCCATTGGCCTGACTTGCAGGGCACCTGCCTTGTGCAGGGCTTTGGCCACGTGCTTTAGCAGGCCGGGAGGCTTGGGCCGTCAGCAGGGTGAACGACAGGTCCTTATCCGGGTTGTTCTTGGGTATTTTCTTCCTTGTGATGTGATGGAGGTTCCTGTTTTCTTCTTTATTCTGTGTTCTGTTCAGCAGTCACTGAGTAGTACCTCACGCTTGATCTGCGTTTGTTACACTGCAGTCACATTGCGGTCCTCGGAAGCCACAAGTGATGCTTGAAACAGGGAGCACCTAAGACACTTTCTGAGCATGAGAGCACTCAGAACAAATCTGAAATCTCTGGGTCACTGAAATAGAAAGGGGGTCATGAGTAGAAAAGGTCTTTTTTAACCAAGGAGTGTTTGCCAACAAAAGAAAACGGTTTTAGATCCCTTCGTTGCTAAAATTTTGTTAGCCTCCTCAGCACTTTCATAACGCCAGAGTGCTTTATAAACCGTCTCACCAACAAAGTGCTGTGTCATCTAACAGTTTGTAAAGCACAAAACACTGGGTGGCTCTTTAAAAAATATTTTCAGGCTATTAGGGGTGAGTGGTGGGAGCACTTGGGGCAGAGTCCCCAGGCCCCTGTTTTTTTTTTTTTTTTAATGTTTATTTTTGAGAGAGAGCGAGCACACACGAATGCAGGGGAGGGGCAGAGAGAGAGGGAGACAGAAGCTGAAACAGGCTCCAGGCTCCAAGCTGTCAGCCCAGAGCCTGCCGCAGGGCTCGAACCCACGAACCGTGAGGTCATGACCTGGGCTGAAGTCAGACGCTCAACCACCTGAGCCACCCAGGCACCCCCACGGGCCCCTCTTGAGAGTCCTGATCAGGTGTGGCCTCATGTTCACCCCCCGACAGATACGAGGTGTCGGGCAGGTCTGCTATTGGTGACAACTCGAGAGAGGACGTGGTGCTCCCCATCTACCTGCGGGAGCGCACGCCAGCCCGGGATTACAACAACTCCTACTACGGCCTGATGCTCTTCGGGCACCCACTCCTGGTGTCGGTGCCCCGTGACCGGCTCTCCTGGGATGCCCTGTATCACATCCTGCTGTACCGCCTCTCGTGAGTCTGCCTTTTGGGGGGCAGGGGGAAGGTGGGGTCTGAACTCAGAACCGGGTGTTGAGCTGTTCAGAGTTGCCAGCCCCTTGCCACTTGCAGGAGACAGCTAAGTTTAACATGGCCAGAGAGCAACTCTTAGGTTTTTTTCTTTTCCTCTTCGTCTAAACCTCTGGCTCTGCCACAGTCTCTCCTGGGCGTTCGAGATAACGGGGGTCAACAAAATGGACAAAATACACACAATTTTGGTACTTCATTACTCTCTCCTTGGAGAGGCGTGGTGATTTGTGTCCTCACTGGTAGATTTCCATTGTGCCTAAAATCTAGAGTCCTTAGGCAGGCAACCACCTTGTCGAGCCGCCTCTTCGGGCGTTTCTGTATCCTCTCCTGAGCCCATCTGGGATCGCCACGAACCCAGGCTTGTGTGTGGGCCTGCCGGTGGTTTCCCATCATAAGCGAAGTGGAATCCTGGGCCCTGGCTGGCCTGCCTTCGTGCCCTTCCTCCAGAGTCTCCTCTGCTCTCTTGGCAGGCGCTACGTGACCAGACCCAGCTCGGATGACGAAGACGACGGGGACGAGAAAGGTGAGGAAGAGGCAGGAGAGAGGATCGACAAGGGTGAGGGTCTGTACAGGCCGGGCACGAGGGAGGGTCAGTGGCTGGGGGGTCTGGGGTATTTCCGTCTGGATGCGCCTTACCGCTCCGGCACCCGGGCTCACACGGACCCGTCTGCTGCCCTACCCCGTCCTGGCAGATATGGAGGACAAGGACAGCATCCCCAAGCCCGGACGCGTGGCTGGGGGCAGCTCCCAGGATTCCGGGCCGGAGCAGGCAGGGCCTAGCTCTGGAGTGGCAGGCGGGAGCCGCGCCCCTGTGGACAACTCCCCTGGACCATCTCACTGGCCCCAGAGGGCACGGCGCAAGCACTTGTTCACCCTGCAGACGGTGAACTCCAACGGGACCAGCGACCGCTCAACCTTCAACGAGGATACCCATGGTGTCTCCTTCAGCTGTGAGCCAGGGTGGGGGATGCGGGAGGGGGTTTCCTTGGCAGCAGGGCCCATGACCACCTCCCCTCGCCCCCAGCCCAGCCGTACATCGCCATCGACTGGGAGCCAGAGATGAAGAAGCGTTACTATGACGAGGTGGAGGCCGAGGTAAACGAGATCCCAGGGGTGGGAGGGACCACTTTCCGCTTGCGTCCCCGCAACCCTTCACACCCACGCCTCCCTCCCCCAAATTCCTCCAAGTCGTGACCACAGAGCTCCCAGGGCCTCAGAGTCCATGCCCTTAGCCACGGGCACGTGTCTTCCACCTCCCGTCCCCTTCACCCGTCGCCCGCTCCCCTGGCCCAGGGCTACGTGAAGCACGACTGCGTGGGGTACGTGCTGAAGAAGGCGCCGGTGCGGCTGCAGGAGTGCATTGAGCTGTTCACCACCGTGGAGACTCTGGAGAAGGAAAACCCCTGGTGAGCGGCCAGAACGGGGCCTCTGGGGACATAGTAGGGGGGTGTGACCTGCCCAGATGCCTCCTGCCTGTAATGTTCATCCTTCGCCCCTCACTCCGGCCCTCCTGCCACTCTGACCCCCAATACCCAGGCTTAGTCGCACGTCAAAGCCTTTGCCTGGCTGTTCCTTCTCCCGGGAGGGAGTGCTCTCCCCCCAGTTATAGCTGCGGGACCTGACCCCTTCACTTTGCTCAGGTCTCCGACCGAATGTCAGTTCATCAGAGATCTCTTACTACCCTGTTAGGAGCCAGGCCCCCCAGCCCGTGCCTCTGCCCCCCACCCCACTCCCTCCCCACTCTGTTTCTGCCTAGGCCAGCATCACTTTCTTTGCGGTTCCATAACACCGCCTGACGTCATATCCTAGATCCCCTTTTGTGTCATGATTTGTCTTCTCCATTGGAGTAGACCCTCGAGAATGAAGATTTCTGATCTTAAGTTTTTGCTGTGTGTCTATTCTCACGATCATAATGGTGTGGGGGGTGCAGGAGGCACTCAGTAGATCCTTGGAGAATAAGCAAACAAAACATAAAGGGACGACCAAAAAGATGAAGCCAGTCTCAACCATTAGAGGGGCATCTCCGTGGAGCAGGAAGGGAACAGAAATACAAAATAGCGGCCAAAGGACTCAGCAGCAGGCTGTCAGCAGACACCTGGCGAGTGAGCGAATGGGTGACTCGGAGAAGTTAGAGGGACACAGGCTCTAGAATGAGACGAACGTCCCACAGACCAGAAACCAAATAAAAGCGCACACTAGCGTAAGAGCCCGACGAATGACAGGATTGTAAGATGTGAAGACGGCAGGCTAGAGTGACGGGCGGGCCGGAAGGAAGGGCCAGGCAGCATCTCTGTGGACCAGACGTGGCCTGTGGGGGCCACGCGGTACAAAAAGTATGCAGTAGGTGCTCATTTAGCGTGTGTGTGCACGCGCGTGCGCGCACGTGCCTACTCGTGCTCTTGTGTTTGTAGGTACTGTCCCACCTGCAAGCAGCACCAGCTGGCCACCAAGAAGCTGGACCTGTGGATGCTGCCTGAGACTCTCATTATCCACCTGAAGCGCTTCTCTTACACCAAGTTCTCCCGCGAGAAGCTGGATACCCTTGTGGAGTTTCCCATCCGGTCTGGGCTGGGGCCTTGGCCTGGGCAGGAAGGGTTAGGGGGGAGGCACAGGGAGAGGGGAAGAGGCGTTCTGGGAGTGACCCTGTCCTCCCCCACAGGGACCTGGACTTCTCCGAGTTTGTCATCAAGCCGCAGAACGAGTCGGCTCCGGAGCTGTACAAATACGATCTCATCGCGGTTTCCAACCATTACGGGGGCCTGCGTGACGGACACTGTATGTGCGGGGCTGTGGCAGGGCTTGCCCGGGGTCGGGGGGCAGGATGTCCGCAGCGTGCAACTAAGATAAGTGAGCAGGGGTGGGCGGTGGACCCGGGAAGCTCTTCGGGGAGGCAGGGCAGGTGCGGACGGCGCCCCTCTCTTACAGACACGACATTTGCCTGCAACAAGGACAGCGGCCAGTGGCACTACTTTGACGACAACAGCGTGTCGCCCGTAACCGAGAATCAGATCGAGGTGTGCCCTCCCTCCTCCCTCCTTCCTCGCTCCTCCCCCGCCCCCCCACCGCGCCCTGGGTCCCTGCCGACGCCTGTCCTCTCCCCGCAGTCCAAGGCAGCCTATGTCCTCTTCTACCAACGCCAGGATGTGGCACGTCGCCAGCAGCCCCAGCCCGGCTTACGTGACCCCCCAGCGTCCCCTGCCTGCGGTTCCGCACCCAACTCTGAGTTCATGGATGTAAACTGAGGGGCCCCCGGCCCCGCCACAGGGAAGGAAGCCATCTCTGCTCTCTTCCTTCCCGCCCCCGCCCCCCAGCCCCGTGTTAGGTGCCCCGTGCCAGGTGTCGCAGGCTTTAGTCGTGGCTGCTGTTCTCCTGTGCCGCTATATTGCTCTCTCCCGGGGAAGAAGAGGTGGTGTCTCGCCCCGGCCGTGTGTCCCCCGCCTGTGTTTGCCCCTTAGAGCAGTAACCTTCCCTTCTATTCTCTATTTATGGTTGTCCCCTTCCCTCCGTCCTCCACCTGGGGTGTTTCGAGGGGGTGGTGGTGGGGTGCACCTGAACACAGAGTGTATTTTCTTATCGAGACCCTGTACCTTCTGCCGTGTATATATAAAGTGCCAGTGTGTTCCGTGGCAATGTGCTTTTCTTGCTGCGTACCAAGTGCCAGCCGGGTGTCTGTGTGCTGACGCGTGCTCGCTGGGTGCGGGGGGTGTGACGAGTGATGCTCTGCGTGTCGCGCACGACTTCGGGGGAGTTTTCGGCACCATCTGGACGCCACGCACGATTCCCAGCACCAGCCGCACGCCCAGTGTTTCCCAGGGCGTTTCACACACTGACTCACAGTCCTCACACTGGATTCGGGGCGGGCGGGGCTTGTCGTCTCCGGTTTCAGATGGGGAAACTGAGGCACAGCTCGAGTCCTCGTTCAGGCTGTCAGGAATTGGCACGCGTGGTTAGCCACGCTGGTGTTGGTCCCTGGAGGGGGGCGTTTGACCTCTCTGGATGCGAGACCGAAATCTCTGGACGCGGCCTGTGGGAAAGGCGCGCCTAGAATACATGGGCATCCATTTGGGCCAGTGTGTGCTTTTGGACACAGAGATACTGACCAGACCACAGACCCTCCCCAGCAGTGTCTTCCCAGAACCACAGAGGTGGCACACCTGACCCAGATCAGCTAACCCAAACGTGCCTTGTCTCTGTTGTCCCTCCACTCAGCCTCCCCGCGCCCCACCATGACTGCAGCTCCCCCACCAGGCAGGGGCCCTCCGGCCGCACCCAAAGAGGGACGTGGAACACCGTGCCCCAGAATGGGAGCAGCATGGCGTGTCTGGGGAGACAGATCCCTCTTAAACACGGGACGCCCCCCACCCGGCCCCTCCCCCCTCAGGCGCCCGCCATCTCCTCTAAGAACCGGCTCCTCTAAGGAGCAGTGTGGACTGGGCTGTGGGGTGGGGCGGTGTGGACGGATGTGTGGTATGTGGACTTAAACAAAAACCCCAAGCCCTTCACACCAAGGGAGGGACCTGCACAGGTGCCGCTCAATGGACCATTCCCACAGTAACCGCCTCAACACCCGCCCTGGCAAGGGTCGCTCGGCATTACCACCCGCAGACCTCCCAGTTGCGCTGTCGACACCGGCGAGAATCAAGGTAGTCGCTGTGAGAAACCCTACTCGACCTGACTTAGGCAAAAACAAATAAGTAGTTCTGGGTATGACCGGATCCGGGAACTCAAAAATGTTGTCATTTAATCCTCACGGACACCGTGTGATTTGAACACGATGACCCCGTTTTGCAGATGAGGAAGCAGGCATAAAAACCTGGCTCAGAATGGGCTTTCCGTACTGGAAGACGTCCTTACCTATGCATAATCAGTCCTGGACAAAGCCCTCCTAAAGTGAATCCGTTTCAAATAATTTCCCAGATTTAACCAAAAATGTCTTGAAATGACACCATGCATAAGAATCAGGAAGAAGTGAGGGGTGCCTGGGTGGCTCAGGTGGTTGGGCATCCAACAGTCGATTCTGGCTCCGGTTCTTATCTCATGGTTTTGTGGGTTCGAGCCCCATGTTGGGCTCTGTGCTGACCCTGCAGAGTCTGCTTGGGATTCTCTGTCTCTCTCTGTCTGCCCCACCCCTGCTCATGCGCTCTCTCTCTCTCTCTCTCTCTCAAAATAAGTAAAATTTTAAAAATTATTTTAAAGAAAAGGAATCAGGAGAAGTGAGAGACAACAGACAGTTCCACAGAGATGCCTCGCATCAAGAATTCTCAGGGGTCGGGGCGCCTGGGTGGCTCGGTCAGTTGAGCGTCCGACTTCGGCTCAGGTCACGATCTCGCGGTCCGTGAGTTCGAGCCCCGCGTCGGGCTCTGTGCTGACAGCTCGGAGCCTGGAGCCTGTTTCGGATTCTGTGTCTCCCTCTCTCTCTGCCCCTCCCCTGTTCATGCTCTGTCTCTCTCTGTCTCAAAAATAAATAAACGTTAAAAAAAAAATTAAAAAAAAGAATTCTCAGGGGTCAGGGGCGCCTGGGTGGCTCAGTCGGTTGAGCGTCCAACTTCAGCTCAGGTCATGATCTCATGGTCTGTGAGTTCGAGCCCCGTGTCGGGCTCTGTGCTGACAGCTCAGAGCCTGGAGCCTGCTTCCGATTCTGTGTCTCCCTCTTTCTCTGCCCCTCCCCTGATCATGCTCTGTCTCTCTCTGTCTCAAAAATAAACATTAAAAAAAATTTTTTTTTAATAAAAAAAAGAATTCTCAGGGGTCAGTGTAAAACTGTTGTGCTTACTCTGGTCATGGAAATAAAGATGATTACAAGTGAACAAGAAATGTGAACATTTTAAAAATGAAAACGAGTTGAAAAAGAACCAGGTAGAAGTGATAGGCCTGAAATAGATAACTAAATTTAAGAAACAAGTGGATGAGTTGAACAACACATTACATGTAGCCGAGGAGGGAATTGGTGAATTGGATAGAGTTTAAAACAGGGGCTGCTGGCTGGCTCAGTTGGTAGGGCATGTGACTCTTGATGCTGGGGTTGTGAGTTCAAGCCCCACGATGGGCATAGAGCTTAAATAAATAGAACATATAACGGATAGAAGTTAAAGTGTCCCTGGAATCCTGTTTTCCAGAGCTCTGACATGGTTTGTTCTGTCAATTCTGCTTGGGGTACGTGTGTGTGTGTGTGTGTGTGTTGATGTATATGGTTTATACTATACATGTTTAACATAGCAAAGTCTACCCTCAAGTGATGGATCCCACTTTGCATTTAATATAAGAACTTTTCCATAGTGTGTCCATTTCTCCCTGCTCAGCCTTTATGTTGTTACCGCGCATTTTACTTTTGCATGTGTTATACACCCCAAGATGCATTGTGTTTTTTTTTCTTTAAGCAGTCAGTTGCCTTCAAGAGACTTAAATAAGGGTGCCTGGCTGGCTCAGCCGGTAGAGCATGCGACTCTTAATCTCAGGGTTGTCAGTTCAAGTTCCACGTTGGGCATGGAGCCTACTTAAAATTGAAAACAAAAAGATTTAAATAACAAGAAAAGGAGTTGAATATATTTACCATGCCAACTTACCATAGTTCGTTTAGTTTAAGAGAGAGAGAGAGAGAAAGAGAGAGAGAGCAGGGGAGGGGCAGAAAAAGACAGGGAGAGAGAGAGAATCCCAAGCAGGTTCCACACTGTTAGCGCAGAGCCTGATGCAGGGCTTGATGTCACAAACCGTGACATCATGACCTGAGCCGAAATCAAGAGTGGGACGCTCACCTAACTGACTGAGCCACCCAGGCGCCCCTCACCTTATTTTTTTGAAACAGGTTTTCGTGGGTATAGAATTCTAGGTACAGTTTCTAGTTCTTTCAGCACTTTAAAGACCTTACTCCACTGTCTGCCGTTACTCGGCTGCTGCCGTCCTTTTCCTTGTGCCTGTGTACCTAGCGTGTCCTTTTTGCCCCTGGCTGCTTTGAAGATTTTCTCTTTAGCCCTGGTTTGGAGCAGTTTGATTATGATGGGCCTTAGCGTAGTTTCTTCACGTTTCTTGTGTTTGGGTTTCTTTGAGATCCTTGGATCTCTGGATTTCTAGTGCCTGTCAAATCTGGAAACATTTTGGCCAGTATTTCTTCAAATGTTTTTTTCTGAAGTTCCCTTCTCTCTTCTCTTTCACTGATGCAATTTTCATTAAAATTTTTTTTTAATGTTTGTTTATTTTTGAGAGAGAGAGACAGAGCATAAGTGGGGGAAGGGCAGAGAGGGAGGGAGACACAGAATCCGAAGCAGGCTCCAGGCTCTGAGCTGTCAACACAGAGCCCAACACAGGGCTCGAACTCATGAACCCTGAGATCATGACCTGAGCCGAAGTTGGATGCTTTTTTCTTTCCCTTTTTCATATAGAAAATCTTATGTATGTATGTATGTATGTAACCTCTCTGCCTGATGTGGGGCTTGAACTCATGACCCTAAGATCAAGAGTTGCGTGCTCTACCCACTGAGCCAGCCAGGCACACCCATGTGTCTCATTTTCGTTGGTTTCTATTGCTGTGCCTTCGAGGTGATTAATATTTTCTTCTGCAATGCCTAATGTGCTGTTAATCCCATCTAGTGTATTTTTCTTTTTTTTTAATTGTTAACGTTTATTTTATTTTTGAGAGAGAGAGAGAGAGAGAGAGAGAGAGAGAGAACACAAGCAGGGAAGGGGCAGAGAGAGAGGGAGACACAGAATCCAAAACAGGCTCCAGGCTCTGAGCTATCAGCACAGAGCCCGATGCGGGGCTCGAACTCACAACCGGTGAGCTCATGACCTGAGCCAAAGTCGGACACTTAACCGACTGAGCCACCCAGGCGCCCCAATTTTTCAACCAGGGCATTGTACCTGCTCAGTTTGGGTCTTTTTTATATCCTCAGTGTATCTGTTTAACTTTTTGAACATATGACTACAGTCATACTAATAACCATTAATGACTTTCTCTGCTGATTTATCAGGGCCAGTTCTAAGTCGGTTTTGATTAGTTGAGGATTGTCCTTACAATGGGTCTTTCCCTGCAAAGACATTTCTGGTAATCTTTGGTTGGATCATAGGCATTGTGAATTTTATCTCACTAGTAGCTGGATATTTTCATCTTCCTTTAAATCTCCTGCAGCTTTGTTCTGGAATGCATCTGATTTTCTTAGTCTCACGTCTTGCTTTTATGGCCTCTTATGCAGTTCCCAAGACGTGTTTGTTCTAGACGTGTTTGTTCCATTCCCCACCACTGAGTCCTCTAGCCCATGACCTGTGCGTTATGAGTGTTTCCAGCCTTGCTGGTTGGATTAGCCACTGTTCCCCACCCTGGGTGAATGCCAGGCACTGTTCCCTCTAATAACCCTTTCGGATGGCCCCTTCCCCCATCTCGGGCAGTTTCCACACGCACATGTGCTCTGACTGATACTTCGCTGACTGTTCGAAGAGAACCCTCCTCTCTGGTACTCTGGCCTATGGACTCTAGCCATCCTGGTCTCCACGGACTCTGTGCTCTGGCTCCTCAAGTCGAGGGGTCTGCTGGGCTCTGTCTGGGTTCCCCTCCCTAAGCTGAGGACAATCCCTCCAGGCAGTAAGCTGAGA